GTGTTTACTGTGCTTACACTACAGACAGTAATCCCTTCGAACGCCAAGTTATCCAGGTCCTTACGCAAACTGCCAACGTTCCGGCGAACTCGGTCGATTTCTTCGTGGCGGCCCCTCCACAGGGGACTGCATTGTCTCGACTGAACAATGCACGGGACGGTCTGAACTGCCTCAATGCAGTCAGTCCTTACCCAGGGGTGGGCACCACCACAACGACCACCATCCTACCGTGCGAAGCGACTCCGTTCGACTGCACGCAGTATCCAGGCCCTTTGCAGGTGGTGAACACTGGTTCTGGCTCCAATTGCATCTCAACAGTCCAGTTCTTGAATCTGGCCACCGATCAGTACGAGCCGATCTGCATTTCACAGCCAGGAGAATGCCAACAGGGTTGTTCTTACAATCCAAAGGATGGGAGGATCTATTGCCAGAGTGTCAACACTTTCCGAAATATTGGGCGGTACCTCACCCGTATCGACTGCAATGGAACGACGCAGGAGATGAAGATTTGCTACCTGGACCCTCTCACCAGGAACGTGGTGACGGCGGCCTTTGTGGAGGAACCTTTCACAAACTTTCCAAACTATGTGTTTTCGGGAAACCCGCTTCGAAATGTGAGAGCGGACGTCACCACACTTGATGGTTTTGTTGATCCTCCGTTTGTTCCTGAGCTGGGCACCGATCAGATCTCTGGCTCTAGCTTCGGTGCCATCAGCATGGCCATCAGCAGGTTTGACCTGGGGGATGGCAACGGGGTCCAGACGTGGGCAATCGGCTGCAACACAGGACAGATTGTTGTTCAAGGCATCTCAAACATAAGTGACAACTTCTTGAGAGCGGAACGCTACACATTGACCATCGTCGATGCGGCGCCCCAAGGGCGATCGACAACAGCGTGGTCCTTCGAGAACAACGTCTACTGCGCCTACAACGATGCAGTCTACTTCCTCTTCACTGACTTCATAACCATAAACCAGGTGACCAGAACAGGCACAATCAGCTTGGGGGAAGCGAGCAGTGCGACAACAAATAATGGCAATGTTGACAATGGCGGACTCCAATGCAAT